CTTTCGTGCAGCTTCGTGAAGAGGAGGTTGCGTAAATTCCCTCGGTCACGATGCCTTAGGTTCTCGGAGTTGATCGAGACGGTGCTCCGGATAATGCATCCGAGTTGTCCCGCGTACCCACTGACTAATTCTTTGGGCCCCGTTGGATGCCCACTGGAGGACACTTCAGTGAATTCCTCCTTGACGGTGCCGAGCATGTTCGGGCGCCGGTCCTTTCGTTGCCTCTTTGGTTGGCTTCCATCTGTGCGTTCGCTGCCATCATAAGTGGTGGCATCCCCGGCGGCACCATCGGTGGTGTCATCCCCGACGCCACTAGGGGTTTTGTAGTCGGGATCGGTGTCTTCTGCGGCGTCCTCATAGTGGTGAGGTTCTTCCTCCATCTCCTGGGACAGCTCCTAGAATGGCTTGCCCAAACCGCCAGCCTCATCGTTGTCAGCCATGTTCGCTCTAAATAGGAAAAAAGGCTACTAGAGTTATTGGATGAGATCAGGGTAGTATCTATTCTTCTATCCTATATATTTTCACATTACAGGTTATAAACACCACTTTACCCAAAAGATTGTTCCAAGTGCACTATTGCTATCCTACTAAGTGCACTATTGCAGGTTATATATTTTCTATCCTACTAAGTGCACTATTGCTCTTGCTGCAGGAAGAAAAAATAGTTTGCATTTCAACTTAAGGAAAACTATAAAAGCCACTTAGAAATATTTGCTTTGTAGAAATAACATTGTCTATAAATGTTGATTAATTTTTGTTTCGGTTGAGAATCGGGCACCTTCTAGGTCAAGAAAACTGGGCATGACCTTTGCTAATTTTCTTGACCTAGGAGTGCCCCATTCTCAACCGAAACGGAAATTAATCAACATTTCAGGAAAAAGGCGTAACTATTTGTCCCTGCACAAAATATTGAACTGTAGGAGCCTCAGTTCAGTTGTGGCGCCCCTGAAATTTTGGGGAACTTGCAGCAAATAGACATTTTGCTTTGCATCAATCATACAGATAGCATACCTAATACAACGAACATTATGCAAACCACAACATTATGGCATCAATGCCCTATGGCATCTACGAAGTCTGACATGCGTTGTAGATTTCATGATTCATCACAGCATTATGCAAACCATGGAAGCAGCATTGAGAAACCAGATACAGCCGAGATTCTTGCAAACACAGACACCATCATTCACTAATAATTCCCTTAAGTAAAGAATATTTATATGTTGACCATGAAGCAAAGCAAAGCAAATCATGGTCATATGTTGATCACGATGCAAAGAAAATCAAAATTAGTTACTTACATCCAGTTACTCTAGAGCTTGCTGTAGATGTACTTGTTGTAGCTTGTTATAGGAGTAGCCTGGTGTAGGACGAGGAGTTGCAAATTGACTTACAGTACAAGGACAAGGAGTAACTTACAGTACTCATGACTACTCCATTTTGTTACAAGATGTACTCCATTTAACAGAGTAGGAGTAATATTCAGTTACTTTACAAGATGTACTCCATTTAACAAAAAAATCAGTAAAATTTACAAATCCTACAGCAGATAATGGTTTGTTAAATTGAATTTCTGTCAATGTTACTAATTTTTCTGTATTTCTGAATATCGAGCATGCAAGCACATAACAAGCAAAATTTACTGAAATTACAACTACTAAAACTCCGGTGAGAAGGGTACTCATAGCATTAACTGAAATTAACCTTCTCATTGTAATACTCCTTCTCATTGTACTCCTGGAGTAATTTAACTAAAATACTCCATTGAGAAGAGTACTACAACTCCATGTACTCCTAGCAGTTCAGAACTGCAACTACTCCTACCGCAAACAAAATTCAGTAAATTTCAATGCATTTACTGCAAACAAACCTGGAGATCTAGAGGGCGAGGGGGAGGGGGAGCTTACACTTGCGGCCGTAGCGGATCCGGCGGGAGGAGGTGCGCGAGGCTGGCGTGGTGGTAGTGCGCGACGCGGGCGAGCGCGGCGGAGGCGGCCGCGGGTGTGAGGAGCGAGAGCGGTCGGAGCTGGAAGAGCGCGGAGGGAGCAGCGCCAGAAGGTGTCGGAGGAGCCCCACTTGGCGAGGAAGTTGTTGGTGGCGGCGGCGAGCTCCTGGAAGGAGTAGAGGACGGGCTGGTCCGGGAGGGAGGCACGCGTCGCGGCGAGGCTGGAGCGGCTGGATCTCAAGGATGTGGAGGAGGCCAAGGCGGTGTTTGTCGTTGTTGTTGTTGAAGGGGTGGTGTGGCGGGGTCCTGAGAAGGTGGAGGCCGTGGCCGCGGAGGAGGAGGAGGAGGAGGCAGAGGTGGATGACGTGCCGGTGCCGGTGGCGGTGGTGGTGGAAGGGGATCAGCGGCGGTGGCGAGAGGCGAGGGGCGAGATGCAGATTGGGGAGAAGGATGACCGGCTGGGTCGTCTTGGATATTTTAGTGGGGGAGGGTTAGCAATGGCGCACCTTTTAGGGATGCGCCATAAAAATTGGTATATCAAATTTTTTTTGCAAGAAATTTCTAATCTATTCATCTTCAATCATGACAGTATAAAAAACAACAAAAGTAATAAAAATTACAACCATATCCATGAACCACCAAGCGGTGACTACAAGCATTGGAGCCAATCGAAGGCGCGCCGCCGTCATTGCCCATCCCTCACCGTTGTCAGACAAACATTTTTGTAGTAGACAGTCAGAAAGTCGTCGTGCTAAGGCCGCATAGGACCAACGCACTAGGGTAGCCACCATCGCTGATGAAGAAAGTCATAAATCAGAAGGATCAAACCTATAAACACCCAAACAAAGACTAGAAAAGTTGCTAGAATGGAATAAGAGACATATCAAACTAGGATTCAACAAATTGGACGGAAGAGGGAATTAATTCATATTAACTGAAAACTAATTACTTAGTAATGTATTTCTTTAAAATGAATTAATAGGTAATAATTACGCACATGTATGAAATCTATTACTGTTATGCTCCACCAAGGGAAGGAATTAATAAAAATTGACGAATTAATCCTGACAGATTCACGTTACCAAAACAAATATACCTAATTAGTTGGGTGTGATTAATGAGTAACACTATAAATTAGAGGTAAATACACCACAAATCATAGAACTTTCACGTGACGGTCAGTTTAGTGCACAAACTTGTAAGATACGTGTTTCTGGTCATCCAACTTATCCTTCCATTCATATACTGCTTTCTACTGTATCATGTGCATGCATAGCTTGCCAACGTGGCAGGGGTCGTGGAAACCAAATATACAATGTAACATAATTGTTAGTCGCGACGCATGTGCAACATGAAAATTTAGAATTAAAAATAAGAGGCATAAAAAACATATGAAAATACAAGGCCTACACAAGCAGAAGTGAAGCTTCGTAGAACAACAAAGAAGAAAATTTTAATCTCCATGGTTGAGCAATAAAAATCTCATTTATTCGCAAAAAGAAAAACAAAGAAGAAAAAACTCACACATACCCTAGGCCCAAATCAGCAGACTAGTAAAAAAAGCCCATGCGTTACGAACGAGCTGTGTTACAATTATATTAATGAAGTGTGTGGTTAGCCTAAAAAACATAAAAAGGACAAACAACAAGATTCAACATGAATCTTGGCAACCCGAATCCGACGGTTATGATGTTGACTTGAATTTAGGACCCTCTTGACATGTGGCACAAGCACATGGCAACTCCGAACGTTTTTTTATGGCAAGTTTAGTGACGCTAGTAGGGCAACTTTAGTTGTCAAGCATGGCAGTTTCCGTGCTTCAGTTTATTTTGGCAAAAACTTGTCGCATGTCATCGAAAAACATGAGGGTCGGAGTGTCCCGCACCTGATGTGTGTCACTTGTCATATGGGTAAATTTACTTATTCTCATCTAGCTTGTAAATTTGATGAATTAATGTATTTTTTGGGTATGACTAATTCTCAGTCGAATGAGAAGTAAGTTATAGCCGCCTCAGCTCCAAAAAAAAGCCTAGGGTTGCCCTGCCTCCCAATGGCACCGTCGTCGGTCCGTCTCGTCTCCGATGGCCTTAGGGCCGTGGGTTCGCGATGGATCCTGGCTCTTGCCGGCAGGAGGACTTCGTTTTTAGATGTTTTTTCGAGTTTTGTCTGGGTTTGTGTGCTGCTCAGGAAGACGAAATGGTGGTGGATCGCTGAAAATGGAATAAGGTTTTTTCCTGCCTAGCACCCGCCCGGATGTCACGTCTACCATCATCTGTGGACGTGTGGAGGTGTGTCTCCGGCGGATCTGTTTTTGTGGATTTGCTTGATCTGTTCGTCGTTCATCTATGTTCTTGTGTCTTCAGGTTGAAACATTTCAATATACACTACTCTTCATCGGCAGCGGTTGCTGCTCTGGTGCGTTGGTCCTATGGGACCTTAGCATGACAACTCCTGATTGTATACTACAACAATTTTTTTTTTCTGGCTTCGGCGAGGGCGGGACGATGGGGTGGTGCGACTTCGGCTTGATTGAAAATGTATAGATCGGAAGTTTTTTAAAAAAATAAGTAAGTTCATTCTCATTAAGGCGACGTCATCAAATCTCCGTTGCAGACCATCAAGCCATGCATGCGCGGCTCCAGTAACGGAAGGAATTAATTACAGTAATAGTGGGAGTAACATAGGTAGTAACATAGATGCCACATAAGCAAAATTGGTGATGTGGCAAGTAGTTAATGAGGAGAGAGGCAAATAGAGTAACATAATATGTTACCATCACATAGCGGTTTCCAATGTATAATAAATCTACAAAATAATAAATGAAAGCAACTATGTTACCACACCTATGACACTACCCACTATGAAGGTAGTAACATAGACTAGTAAAATATGTATGTTACTAGTCTAAGTTACTCTCCACTATGACCAGCCTAATTGGTGGGTTGTGAGTAACGAGTAGCTGTATAATTAGGGCATGTCATCCTACGTCTGTGCTGTGCCCCTACCCAAGAAATCTGCAGAATCCACCATAGAATAGAATAGAATAGAAGCTGCAATGGCCTCCTCCTTCAATGGCGGCAGTGTCCTCTTCGTGCTCTCCGCCCTCCTCCTCTGTGGCGCCACTCAGATCACCCCCATGGACTATCTGCTCCCCATATGCAAGACCGTCGGCGGCGGCAGCACCTTCGTCGGCATCCAGTTCTGCATGGACACCTTCCACTCCAATCCCCGGACCGCACACGGTGCGACGTACCAAGAGCTCGCCGCCATCGCAGTCGACCTCCTGACGGTCAACGCCACCAGCACCAAAGCCAAAATCGGCGGCCTTCTCGGCGGCAAGACGGCGGACGCCGCCACCGCGCAGTGCCTCAGATCCTGCCAAACTCTTTACGGCGGCATATTGCAGCGGCAGCCTGGCAGCGCCGCCGCGGTCAAGGACGGCAAGTTCAGCGAGGCAATCTCGCCCCTGGAGAAATCGGCGGCCGCGGCCAAGGAGTGCGAGGATGGCTTCAGCAAGAGCCACGTGCCGTCGCCGGTGACGGTGGAGAACGGCAACGCTTTCCAGCTCGCCAAGCTCGCCGTCGCCTTACTCCAAGTCTAGAACGTACTCTCTCTCTCTTTTCTTTTTGTTGAGAAAATATATATATTCGAATAAGATGCGATGCTCTTTTTCGAATAATATGTACTAATTTTGGCAGAAAGTAAGGTTCGATTGCTCAATAGTTTTCCACTGAAGATTGCAAAGGAGAGGGCCAAACGTTTTGGCACTAGTCGGAGTTGAACGAATGAGATAATTTCTCATAAGGCATATACAAGGCTTGAGTTTAGGGTTCAAACATAAGGAAAATTTCCGTTTGTTCTATTCTCGTTCTGAATAAGCACGAGACATTTTATTCTCATCCTCAAATGACACGCAGATACTAATTCATCAAATATAGCATAATTTCAAGCTTGAGAATAAAATGTCTCATCTTCCAGCCAATCAAATTCAAGGGCGTTACAACTCTGTTTTTCAGCTTAGATATGGGTACCCCATCCAAAAAAAAGTTTGAGCACTGCTACACAGATGATATCCTAGAGCCGATTTATGCACGACACGTGATCGATGCCATCCATCACTTTGGCTCCATGAGTTAGAGCCATCGATCACAGCATCGTCCATAAATCGTCCGCCAAGGTGTCGTGTGCACAGTAATATCGAAAAAGTTTAGACATGGAAAAAAGTGAGAGCTCAGAAGCCGATATTTGTTTCCTTTCAGACTAGCGCATTTGGCCGTACGATTGAAAGAGGCGTGGCGTCCGGATTTTCAACCAGGCCCCGCGCGGCTCTCTGGGTGATTCCAAATCAAATTGGATCCGGCAATGCACATCCCATCTCTATCTGAAACAATCCCTTACTTTTAGGAAATAAATTTGCGAAATTATGAGTAGTTTCCTAGTAATATAGGAGTAATAAAAACAAAAAATCCTTTTCTGAGGTCGGGCTCATCTGCACCCGTGTTGAATAAAAAATTCAAAACAAATACTAGAAAAAATTAAAAATTTCTAAAAGAATTCCCATGGTAGACAATTTGGTGAGCGAGATCCGACCCAATTTTCATATGATTTGGACAACTGAGCAACTCTCGGCAAAAAAGACAAATTCAGGGTCTGTAAAATAGTTTACTGTTCACGTACTGTTTTGACCCGATTTGTCTTGTTTGCTGAGAGTTACTCAGATGTCCAAATGAGCTAATATTTGGAGTGAGTCTCACGCAATAAATTGTCTACCATAGGAAAAATTGGAATTTTTGAATTTTTCTAATATTTGTTTCGAATTTTTTTCTGATCGGATGCAGATGAGCCTGGGCATCGAATCGCTGCACTCAAAAACAAATAGCAAATTTATTACGTTTTATCCCCAGTCACATAAAAAAATCATACAATCAGTATTTCCACCAATGGAAGCGATATTTTTTCGATAAAATCATATTTTTAAATAGCCCGCTATAGCATCGCTATAGCACGCTATAGCGTTTATAAGAGGTCTTGCACTAAGGGACCTTAATTCAAACACATGGACAAACATTCTAAATAGTGGACTTTGATTCAAACACATGGACAAACAGTCTAAATAGCGCGCTATAGCACGTTATATCGCTTAGAAGAGGTCCGCCGCTAGGAGGCTTAGCGCACTATTTAAAACTATGGATAAAATATACTTGCTAGTGCAACTTAATGTGGCTTCCTACCGACAATATTTTGCTTCTGTTGGCCAGCTAGATTGCTTCCAAGAAAATATGAGATTATTACCTTCTACTCCATCCGTCCCATAAGATAAGATAAGAGTGCTCAAGAGTGCTCTTATCTTATAGGGTGGAGGGAGTACTATTTTATTTCCATCTTAAAAAGGATGCAACAAATATTCTTATGTCGCAATAAAAAACTTCCAACGGAGAATATAATTTTCTTACAAATTTTCTTCCAATGTATGAAATATTTGTTTCTACAAACATTTGTTAAGTAAGAGCATATAATTTTCTTCTAAAGGAAATAGTATCTACTTTGAATGAAACTAATATTTGTTTCCTATAGAGGTTATCATTTTCTTCCAAATGAAGTAGCGTTTGCTTTTCTACTCGTCCATCATAAAGGAAATTAAATACCTTATGTCTCTTCGTGAAAATTGTATTACTCATGTAAATCGTAGCAAGAATAATTAGTGTTAGCCTGGCTAATTTTGCTCGCATTGAGGGTAGAGTTTTGAGTAATACAAGTTTTTCACCCAAAAAAAATCATAATTTGCTTCTTATATGAAGAGCATATACACTAGGCATACAAAAAGTTGCACGGTAGGTGTGCAAACTCGTACAAGAACTTGAAAATGGGGTGAACCGGTCCACCAACTTGTGATACAGATGCAAAACTGGTCCAAATCATTCTCATGTGGACACGTGGCAGTGGTATTTTTTTAAAACGCCCCTGAATTGTTTTATCGAGCACACGTGACTTTTCTTAGGAAGGCCATCATGACTAGCTTTATTAAAATTAAAACAGCCGATACATCGTCTACAAGTTTACTGACAATACAATCTGAAGCTCGTCCAACCAACTAAAAGTAGTTTATTAGAATAACTAGAATTTGCTAGCACATAAGCTACTTTTACAACAGGAGGATTACTCCCGGCCTCTGCATCTGAGTGATGCATGCAGCCATTTTATTAATTATTCTCATAGACTTTACAAATCATTACATCAATAAGCCTGAAGCCACCATCTTGGCGACACATATCGCTACTCCTATCCCCTTGATGCAGGGGTGCCGAATGCCCGAGCCTAATACCAAACAAACATCACATCAAACTAACATTTAATGTCGGTTGCCTCATCCCAGCGACATACCGGGAATGGGTCACACATCGGTCCGGCGCACTCACCGATGCTACCGCAGCCGTCATCCACATAACCATTTTCAGAGCAGGTACCGGCGCAAAGACCTTGCCAGGTCAGCTGTCGACGCCACCATGGCGCCAAACAGCGCCACCACCCTGCGCTCGTCCATCCAGCTGCATCTGTCATCAATATCCGCACCATGCCGCCAATACTTGTCGTCATCGTCGCGGTAGAAACAACGCCGCATCTCCTGGAAACCTCCACACTGTCGCCGCTGCTGAAGCTACACGGAGTCCATCACCCACAGCATCTCTCCGCCGAACAGCAGAACCTCCCAAGACGGCGCCTCCATGGAGTGTATGATGAGAAGGACGCCGCCGCCGCCCAACCCAGACTGAATTTTGGACTTTCGTTCGGGAGGGGTTTGGAGGTGGATAGGAGAGACCTGGACAACACCTCCATGGAGGGTAACAACGTCGAAAGACGTTGCCGATGCCGGACCGAACAAGTCGGTCAAAGTTTCCTCCGGTCCTCATCCTATACTACCAAACCTCCGTCGGCTCCGGATCCGGCAACGGAGCATGAATCGAAACCTGCAGAGATCAAAGAGCCATGGGGCTCAACCCACCATGAAGGAGGATCGAGAAGAATCCATTGTAATCTCCACGCGCCGAATCCAGCGACCCGCGCGTGGTCAGCGACGACCACCACCACCCGGCGGCGGCTGACGACGGTCAAGCCCAAGATCCAGATTGGATTCGATCTAAACCCCGCAGTGCCCACGACCACCGGTCTTGCCCACCACACAGTTGTCACCATGTCGCGAGCAGGCCACCGCCGCTGCCGTGCCGCACACGGCGTCGCCAAGAAGCCCGACCGCCGCGCCGCTCGACCCCATGTTAGTCCAGCGCCTCACCCGATCTGGCTGCACCGCGCCAGCCGTGACAGACAAGGGGGAGAGACGCCCCGCAGCCGCCCAGCCGGCCAAGCTTTGCCCAGAAGCGATGCGGACGACGGCGAGGAGAGGTGGAGGTGAGAGGAGGGCTGAGAGGAACGCGGCTAGTGTTCCCCTGGGTCGCCCGCGGGGGCGACATGAGGGGGACGAGGAGCCTTTAGGGTCCCCAACTCTGCACATGAGTTGCTTGATTACAAGAATGAGAACAATTCTTAAAAATGACCTTTCCAAACAGGGTACGTAAGTCCACATGTTAAATAAAAATTGCCGCTGCCGCATCCCATCATCTAGGTTGTCCAGTGCAAAGATTTATGACTTGTAAGGGATATGACTCCGCCTCAAGACGATTACACCCCAAAAGATTGAGCAAGGGCAAGCCCATACCTCATGCCCATCACTTCTGTACTCATCACGTCAGCTGCATGCGGGAGAAACTTATATTGGGCCGCCAAAACTTTTCCCCTGTCATCTTGTTGTATTACAGCAGCAGTCGCACCTGGCCTTTAATCAGGAAAGAATGCTGCATTCACATTCAGTTTTGTGAATCTAGGGTCCGGCCTACTCATTTATTTTCAGATATAACAAGCGTTGGGAATGAAGACTTTTGGAAATTGCTTGCAATCGATAAAACTGAATGTGTCCATCTCCATGTTGTCCATCTCCATGTTGTCCACTGGCAGCGCCTGGTCAACCATCTGTATCATGCCGAGACATGACCAGAGGTCCCTCGCATGCCTGCATTGGAACAATAAATGCCGTATGTCCTCAGCTCCCTGGTGGCAAACTGGACAAGCTCCATTGGACCCGACATGCCTGTTAGTTAGGATAACTCGGAGAGGGATTATTCCATGCAAAACCCGCCAGTACAAAAATCTGAAGTTTACCTGGAACATGCAGTTTCCTAGCATACTCCATACTGCCGAATAGTTTGATCCACCAGGGATATCCATCACGTTTGCATGAACCCGAAAAGTATGTAACCATTTAACATGATAAGCATTCTTGAAAGAAAATATCCATGTTCTGTTCGGCTGCCACACAATGAAATCATCAAAAGCTTGGAAATTAAGTGAAATTTGTAAGATCCTTCGGACGTCAACATGACTGAATATTTTAACAAGCAAAGTCTCATCCCAAGTCCCGCTCACCGGATCAATAAGTTCACACACCCTGGATAAGATTGTTGGCGTGATGACATTCCTGTTTGGGCTAGATGGGATCCATGGGTCCTTCCAAATATTTACCTCCTCTCTTGTACCACTTCTCCAAATATA